CGTGATTTGTTTTAATCGCCAATAATTACTCGTTTCTCGAAGGCTAATAGACTGAGATGACTGGGTCGCATAGAGAGAATAGCAGACAATAGAAAGACAAGAACTGCGTACACAGAAGAATTCAATGAGACTAGACCACGAGACGATGAAGAGATAATATTCACACAGACCTACAATTACTTAAGAGTTGCTATCTCAGACTGGAAAGAGAAGGCCATTACATAATGTGGGTCATATCTAAAGAATTGAACTTCAAGGACTCAGAAGGTTGAAGAAGAAGAGGAAGAAGAAAAAGAGCAAGAGAGGTAACAAGGGTAATATAAATACTGTAATGATCTAAACTACATTAGGTCGAAATAATAATACAAATTCGTTATCATAGAAACAAACAAACAAACAAACAAACAAACAAAAAAAAAAAAAAAAAAAAAAAAAAAAAAACCGACTGTAAATCCCATTTGTAACTCAGGGGGGTTGAACTAGGCATTACAGATGTAACTAATTCGATGTTTCAGTAAGTACTGTGTTCTTCCATGTATTTTAATCATCCCCTGACAAAAACAAAATGAACATTTTGCTTTCACTGACTGTAAACTCTGGTGGACAGTTTTGGTCGTTCGTCCATTTCTCCACTTTGGTCTTGTTCCAGAACTTGAATGAGGGTGCACATTTAACAGACTGAGCTTTTGTATATGCAGACTGTTGGTTCCTTGCCTCTTAGACAGATGCACTCCAACTTTGAATAAAACGCTCCTAATTGGTAGCATTCTAAGACATGCTTGTTAGAGTGAGAGTAGATCTATTCCCCCCCCCCCCCATCCCAATGGGCTACCAGGGAACAAATACTTTCATTAGACATACCCAGGCATTTGATCTTATTACTCTGCAGTGAAACGTACGGCCCGCTACATATTTATAGGAATTCCCTCTTATTTTTGCATTGAAATTTCCTAACATTATCAATATGTACCGTGTTTGAGCTTTCTCTATGATATTCTCAAGGGGATCTTAGAAATCTTCTTTAATATCTTCTTCTTTAACTTCAGTGGGGGCATGCACATTAATCATCATGATATGTTTCCATTTTTCCTTTTATTCATAACTCACTGATCCTATCCTTCAAAATGTATTCTTTCTCACAACTTTTTTTAATGACAAATCCTGTCCCTAGTTCATGCTTGTTTTGAGTGTTTCCTCCATAAATCATTCCATTTTCCTCTATGGAACCTTGTCCTGGCCATCTTATTCCTTGAATCTCTGTTGTATCAATATGTAGCAGGCATGGAAAGCCTACAGACAGTTTCAAACAATAATGCATGGAGATTAATCAACCTTACAGAAGGACTACAGATGAGCGGCACCAGATTTCAAAGAAAAGATATACATAAACAAACCTGGCAATCACGTGACAAGATAACTTATAATCAAATAGATAACATTTTATTAAATAATAGAAATGGATCGAACATACAACAAGTTAGAAGCTACAGAGGAGCTGAGTGTCTTTGTGACATCTACCTGGTTTGTACAAAATTAAGAATCAAGCTTAGGAGATCGTTCTGCACCAATAGATATTCATTTCACAACAAATAGCAGAGCAAAATTAGAAATAAGGAAGAGACAGACATAGTGTTTTTGTGAATTAAAAAAAATAAAACCCGCGCATGATAGTGTACACAGAAACCGTTTATGGAATGACAAGAAGGACTTTGGAATACCAAAGAAGTTAATTACCATGACGAAACTATAAATGGAAGATACTTATAATATAATATAATAGTAACATATAGAGGCACTTCTTTTCAACTTGGCCCTGGAGTAAATTATAAGGAAATTGAAACAACAGTGTATTATAGGAGAAACTACAAGAATACTTGGTTATGAAGATGGCATTGATATCGTTGGAGAAAATGAACTACAGACTGTAAAAACACTGACTCTCTTAAGAGAAGCAGCTCACAAAATAGGACTAGTTATCAATCCAGATAAGACAGAATACATGATAATAACAAGACAGCGAAAGGATATAAACTCTGACCACATGCAAGTCCATAATATGAAAATCAAACGAACAGAAACATATAAATACTTGGGTGCAAACTTCAACTGCTCCAACATGCTGAGAGAAGAAATGCCCTTCAACATCTGCTAAAGTCAAAGTCTCTATCTCGCAACACCAAGATCAAAATATATAAAATGTTGATAAGACCAATCGTGTTATATGGCTCTGAAACCTGGAGCACAACTAAAAGAGATGAAGCCTCATTACATATTTTCGAAACCAAAGTCTTATGACGAATCTTTGGACCCATCAAAGATGCAAACAGCGGAAATGGAGAGTGGGAAGCAACAACGAAATTCATAATCTGTTTAAATCACTATTGATCACTGGCATTATGAGATCTAATATACTGAAATGGCTTGGACATATTGAGAGAATGTCAACGGACATTGAGGTAAAAGCTGTATACACAAGAGAGATGAGTTGTCATAGATTACGAGGCTGACCAAGAAGACGATGGAAAGATAACGTCCAGACAGATCTGCAAACACTTGTTGTCATCAACTGGAAAGAGAAGGCCAACCAGAGAGATGAATGGAGGCGGGTAATATCTGCAGCAATAAACCTTAAGAGCTCGGAATGCTGAAGAAGAAGAAGAAGAAGAAGAAGAAGAAGAAGAAGAAGAAGAAGAAGAAGAAGAAGAAGAAGAAGAAGAAGAAGAAGAAGAAGAAGAAGACGAAGAAGAAGAAGAAAGAAGAAGAAGAAGAAGAAAGAAATGAGATGCCTGAGAAAAAGCCGCAAACCTAACTACAGAGACAAAGTTAGAAATGATATTATCAGACAGGAAGTGGGAACAACACCATGCAACAAATCCATTGATAAACGGAAAATAAAATGGTTTGGTCATGAAGTAGAAATGCAGCCAGAACAACTACCAACGTAGACGTTACAATGAAAAGATCTGAAGTGAAATCAATAGGCCGCCCTAGGAGACGATGAACTGATAGCATTAAAGAGCTTATATATCGACACGGAATGACATTAGCCATTGTTGTCCATCAAGCAATGGATCGTAAACTGTTCCTTCCCCATAACGCTCAACGATAGAAGTGGAAATTGGTGATGTGTATGAACAATAAATTATAATGGAATCGAATGTTTGAATTTCCGAAGAGTGTTATGATAAAAACGTAGCTACTTCCTTTCGTTATCACAACTCACACACAACACAACTGATTACGTTCGTAGAGCAGGTTTGTTGTCAAATGTTAACATTGAAACCTAATCAGATGTAATCCCCCACGCAGAACGCAAGTTCTTAGACAGTAGACTTATAAACGTAAACGAAAATGTGTATTTTTGTTGTTAAAGGTCTCTTGAAGGCATACAACTATATTTACCAGAAAAACAGACTTTCTTGTTGTTGGATGTGAGTGGGGATAAGTTAAAGTTAAGTAAGGAATTGTTTGTAGGTAGGGAAGATGATTGTAGCAATATCAGGTATTTATTCATCCATGAGAACATCGAGTAGTTTTATAAGTTTGCAACAGTTTATTCATGACCACGTTGTGAACAGTTAAAATTGCAGGCAGGTAAATTAGAGGCACCCCCCCCCTCCCTTTTTTATTTTTAAATTGCTAAAATGAATTCTCATTCTGGAGTCTGGAGACTTTCTCTAGTGTTTATGTTTATTTTAGGATGTTGACAGTCGGTACCTCAGTTCACACGTCGGGTATACTCATACATGGCTGCTCCCATCTTCTGCTTTATTTAAGCATGTTTCTCAGTGTTTACAGGACGCTGCCGTCTCTAGGCTTGCGATTGATCCCGTGGGCAACTGCTGATCTGTTGGCGACTTCTGCTACCATCAATGATGAACTGCAATTCTAATACTGTGATAAACATTCTGTGTGTTTTTCGTTGGCACAGGAGCGGAGCAAAGATGGGGTGACCCGTTTGCTGTGAAGCTGAAACTAAGACTACCAGACTAGGCTTGCTAAATATCATGTCATTGAATTCATCTATTTCACAGTAGACATGTGTCTTTCACAATGTTTACTTTCAGAAAGTTTGTCATAAAAAATGCTGGCTATCTTGTTTTGTTGATTGTATTTAAAATTTGTAATTTGACTCAGAATGGTTGTCACACCAATGTGATGTTTTCATTGTTTTGCTTGGCTCTCAGAATGGTTGTCACACCAATGGGATGTTTTACTTGGCTCTCAGAATGGTTGTCACACTCGGGTCTGATTTTATGTTTTATTTATTGGTTCAGCTGACTCAGAATTGTTGTCGTTGTCACACTGATGTCTGATACATGTTTGTGTGTGTTTCATTTGACTCTCAGAATGCTTGTCTTACCGATGACATGTTTAGCTATCTTCTGAATATGTGTCCTAAATTATCAAGGCCAAAAATATACCCTAACAGGGCCTCAGTCACGCATCAATCGTGGATTTCCGCCACAGCTGAGAGTATCTTCAGATGAGTATCTATACTAAATTGCTGTGACTCACGAGCAAATGAAATGAAGGGAGCTGCAGGAGATGCACTAGCTGCTGCTCCTGAGTCCCAGCCATCTAGTTTAGCCCCAATTCACACAGCGCGTAGCGGCGTGGGGGATACTCTCGGTGATAGTCGCGGGAAGTGCGCAATTTAAGTCGCCGGAAGACGTAATTGACATGTGACTGAGGCCCTGTTAGGGTATATTTTTGGCCTCGATAATTTGGGACCGTTTTTTAGAAGATAGCCACATGTTTTTATTGTTCAAATTAACTCTCAGAATGGTTGTCACACTGATGTCTGTCATGTTTTTATTGCTTCGCTTAACTCTCAGAATGGTTTTCACACTGATGTCTGATGTAATGTCATGTTTTTATTGCTTCGCTTAACTCTCAGAATGGTTGTCACACTGGTGTCTGATGTCATGTTTATTTGTTCACTTAACTCTCAGAATTGTCACACTGTCATGTTTTGATTGTTTCAGTTGACTCTCAAAATGCCGCCAAGACGAGGAAAGCCCCAGCAACAAGAGCAGGTTGTCCTGGGACCACAAGCCAAAGAAGGAGAATACGTGTTTGGCGTTGCTCACATTTTTGCCAGTTTCAACGACACGTTCGTACACGTGACGGACTTGTCAGGAAAGTACGCACTGCCTCAGTTTAGATCATTCCATGTTTGTGGACACATTAGGCAGGACGGACTTACCTGAACATGCACAATTAAACTTGGTTTGTTAGAGCTGGGCTCTAGGTAAAGATACACACACACACACACACCTGTAAACTCTACGCTTAGTTCCCTCCAGGCATGGATGAGTGATTTCTCACCTGTATACTGTACATGTTTAGTTCTCACTCCAGGCATAGATAAGTGATTTCTCACCTGTATACTGTACATGTTTAGTTCTCACTCCAAGCATAGATAAGTGATTTCTCACCTGTATACTGTACATGTTTAGTTCTCACTCCAGGCATGGATGAGTGATTTCCTACCTGTATACTGCACATGTTTAGTTCTTCCTCCAGGCATGGATGAGTGATTTCTCACCTGTATACTGTACATGTTTAGTTCTCACTCCAGGCATAGATAAGTGATTTCTCACCTGTATACTGTACATGTTTAGTTCTCACTCCAAGCATAGATAAGTGATTTCTCACCTGTATACTGTACATGTTTAGTTCTCACTCCAGGCATAGATAAGTGATTTCTCACCTGTATACTGTACATGTTTAGTTCTGACTCCAGGCATAGTTGACAGATTTCTCATCTATCTCCACAGGGAGACCATCACCCGTGTGACTGGTGGCATGAAGGTGAAGGCTGACCGTGACGAGGCCTCCCCTTATGCGGCCATGTTGGCTGCCCAGGATGTAGCTGAGCGATGCAAAGCTTTAGGCATCACAGCTCTGCACATCAAATTGAGAGCTACCGGAGGCAACAGGTTTGTCATCCTTCTCTCCTGTATGCTGCTGTCTGTATGCTGCTGTCTATATGCTGCTGTCTATATGCTGCTGTCTGTATGCTGCAGTCTGTATGCTGCTGTCTGTATGCTGCTGTCTGAATGCTGCAGTCTGTATGCTGCTGTCTGTATTTTGTCTTGTAGATTGTTTTTTTTAAATAGTTTTTGTATGCTGTCACCCAATTTCTATTTGCAGTCTTTTATCTTATAGTTTATTTTATCTTATAGTTTTTGTTATCTTATAGTTTCTTTTCTTTTATCTCATAGTTTCTTTTATCTGACAGTTTCTCTATGTGATTTTCTGCTTGGGCACATGGCAGGGTGGTGTGATGTGGGTTGGCAGGGTGGTGTGATGTGGGTTGGCAGGGTGGTGTGATGTGGGTTGGCAGGGTGGTGTGATTTGGGTTGGCAGGGTGGTGTGATGGGTTGGCAGGGTGGTGTGATTTGGGTTGGCAGGGTGGTGTGATGGGTTGGCAGGGTGGTGTGATGTGGGTTGGCAGGGTGGTGTGATGTGGGTTGGCAGGGTGGTGTGATGTGGGTTGGCAGGGTGGTGTGATGTGGGTTGGCAGGGTGGTGTGATGGGTTGGCAGGGTGGTGTGATGGGTTGGCAGGGTGGTGTGATTTGGGTTGGCAGGGTGGTGTGATGGGTTGGCAGGGTGGTGTGATGTGGGTTGGCAGGGTGGTGTGATGTGGGTTGGCAGGGTGGTGTGATGTGGGTTGGCAGGGTGGTGTGATTTGGGTTGGCAGGGTGGTGTGATGTGGGTTGGCAGGGTGGTGTGATGTGGGTTGGCACGGTGGTGTGATGGGTTGGCAGGGTGGTGTGATGTGGGTTGGCAGGGTGGTGTGATGTGGGTTGGCAGGGTGGTGTGATGTGGGTTGGCAGGGTGGTGTGATGGGTTGGCAGGGTGGTGTGATGTGGGTTGGCAGGGTGGTGTGATGGGTTGGCAGGGTGGTGTGATGTGGGTTGGCAGGGTGGTGTGATTTGGGTTGGCAGGGTGGTGTGATGGGTTGGCAGAGTGGTGTGATGTGGGTTGGCAGGGTGGTGTGATGTGGGTTGGCAGGGTGATGTGATGTGGGTTGGCAGGGTGGTGTGATGGGTTGGCAGGGTGGTGTGATGGGTTGGCAGGGTGGTGTGATTTGGGTTGGCAGGGTGGTGTGATGGGTTGGCAGGGTGGTGTGATGTGGGTTGGCAGGGTGGTGTGATGTGGGTTGGCAGGGTGGTGTGATGTGGGTTGGCACGGTGGTGTGATGTGGGTTGGCACGGTGGTGTGATGTGGGTTGGCAGGGTGGTGTGATGTGGGTTGGCAGGGTGGTGTGATGTGGGTTGGCAGGGTGGTGTGATGTGGGTTGGCAGGTGTGGTGTGATGGGTTGGCAGGGTGGTGTGATGTGGGTTGGCAGGGTGTGTGATGGGTTGGCAGGGTGGTGTGATGTGGGTTGGCAGGGTGGTGTGATGTGGGTTGGCAGGGTGGTGTGATGTGGGTTGGCAGGGTGGTGTGATGTGGGTTGGCACGGTGGTGTGATGGGTTGGCAGGGTGGTGTGATGGGTTGGCAGCATTGACAGTCCAGTAGTTTATAGACACATATGCCTGGAGAAACAGTGTAGTAGTAGGCTTGGTTGTGAACCTTGATGGGAACTGTTGTTGAGATTCCCAGCCAGGCTGAGGGTCAAGGACGTTGCTGAGCAGAAGTCGCTAGGTCTAAAACCTCAATTGTGAAGATGTTACAGTTGCTGCAGAATTGAGGTGTGGCCAGCACAGCTGAGTCACCTGATTCTGTGGTTTGTGTTGTGTACAGTGAAACTGGATGGATGCAACTTGATGGATAACCAAATCTGATGCAGATCATATTAGAGTGGGTTTGAAAGTGAAGACACTTCCTTGACCCAGGGACCTAGACTGTCCATGTCACACTGGATTCTCACAGGCAATGAGTGAGGGAATCGCTTGGCTTCAATCGCTTGGCTGGCCCAATTCTTAACCCTTTAAAAATAAAGTTTGTTTGTTTGTTCAAAAGGCCCATTGGTTAAACACTGACCAGTATCTAGGGACAGATTTTGAAAACCGTTGATGCATGACTACTGGTTGTTCTAGCTAACAGATGGAAACAAACAATGGGGATTTTTCAGCTTAGACTGACTTGATTCCAACAAGTGCTTTCTATAAATAATTTTTAATGTATGGATTTTTCTTATTATTTAACTATCTCAGTGTCACAGATGAGATTTTTGCTGACGACTTCTCGTTAAGCCGAAATGTTGGTAGTAATGCTGGTGTTTTGGCTGTCAGATGGCAGAGCAACAACCTAGACTATCTGGCAATACTGTCTTCATGAATGTAGCCTAAACGTTACGGTAGAACCTGGGACTGACTAACAAGTGCTAGGTTCTGTGTGACCAAATCTTGGTCTGACTAACAAGTGCTAGGTTCTGTGTGACCAAATCTAGGACTGACTAACAAGTGCTAGGTTCTGTGTGACCAAATCTAGGACTGACTAACAAGTGCTAGGTTCTGTGTGACCAAATCTAGGACTGACTAACAAGTGCTAGGTTCTGTGTGACCAAATCTAGGACTGACTAACAAGTGCTAGGTTCTGTGTGACCAAATCTAGGACTGACTAACAAGTGCTAGGTTCTGTGTGACCAAATCTAGGACTGACTAACAAGTGCTAGGTTCTGTGTGACCAAATCTAGGACTGACTAACAAGTGCTAGGTTCTGTGTGACCAAATCTAGGACTGACTAACAAGTGCTAGGTTCTGTGACCAAATCTAGGATGTTGTTTTTCTGCAGGACCAAGACTCCAGGTCCAGGTGCTCAGTCTGCATTGAGAGCTTTGGCCCGGTCAGGCATGAAGATTGGACGCATTGGTGAGTCTGACCAGACTTGTCACAGAAGTGTGTCATGTGGCATGTCAATCTGACCATACTTGTCATAGAAGTGTGGTGTCATGTGGCGTGTCAGTCTGACCATACTTGTCATATATGTTTTGTGTGTGGTGTCATGTCAGTCTGATCACACTTGTCATATACTTTTAGTTCAGTTTTAGGGCTCCAAAGCCACAACGTTTTGTTTGTATTTGTTATATTGTGAAGCTTGCTAATATACTTTTCGTTTGGTTTTATTTCTTTTCTTGTGTATAAACCAAGTTTCTTTCAGGCAAAATTTGATGAGAGCGACGTTCTGCAAAGGTCGCGCTACAAGATGATAATGTGTTTGTACCAGCTGTGGGCTAATATCTGGTTGGGCAGGTGACCGTGGCCTGGCAGGTGACCGTATCCTGGCTGGTGACCGTGGCCTGGCAGGTGACCGTATCCTGGCAGGTGACCGTATCCTGGCAGGTGACCGTGGCCTGGGAATGAATGACAAGGAAATCAGGCAGGCAATCAGTTCATTGGCACACACACAGACACAAGCAGCAGGTGAATGAATGACAAGGAAATCAGGCAGGCAATCAGTTCATTGGCACACACACAGACACAAGCAGCAGGTGAATGAATGACAAGGAAATCAGGCAGGCAGGCATCAGTTCATTGGCACACACACAGACACAAGCAGCAGGTGAATGAATGACAAGGAAATCAGGCAGGCAATCAGTTCATTGGCACACACACAGACACAGCAGCAGGTGAATGTGAATGAATGACAAGGAGGCAATCAGGCAGGCAATCAGTTCATTGGCACACACACATTGGCACACAAGCAGCAGGTGAATGAATGACAAGGAAATCAGGCAGGCAATCAGTTCATTGGCACACACACAGACACAAGCAGCAGGTGAATGAATGACAAGGAAATCAGGCAGGCAATCAGTTCATTGGCACACACACAGACACAAGCAGCAGGTGAATGAATGACAAGGAAATCAGGCAGGCAATCAGTTCATTGGCACACACACAGACACAAGCAGCAGGTGAATGAATGACAAGGAAATCAGGCAGGCAATCAGTTCATTGGCACACACACACACAAGCAGCACAATGACAAGGAAATCAGGCAGGCAGGTGAATGAATGACAAGGAAATCAGGCAGGCAATCAGTTCATTGGCACACACACACACACAGACAGCAGCAGCAGGTGAATGAATGACAAGGAAATCAGGCAGGCAATCAGTTCATTGGCACACACACACAGACACAAGCAGCAGCAGTGGTGAATGAATGACAAGGAAATCAGGCAGGCAATCAGTTCATTGGCACACACACACACAAGCAGCAGGTGAATGAATGACAAGGAAATCAGGCAGGCAATCAGTTCATTGGCACACACACACACACAAGCAGCAGGTGAATGAATGAATGACAAGGAAATCAGGCAGGCAATCAGTTCATTGGCACACACACAGACACAAGCAGCAGGTGAATGAATGACAAGGAAATCAGGCAGGCAATCAGTTCATTGGCACACACACAGACACAAGCAGCAGGTGAATGAATGACAAGGAAATCAGGCAGGCAATCAGTTCATTGGCACACACACACACACAAGCAGCAGGTGAATGAATGACAAGGAAATCAGGCAGGCAATCAGTTCATTGGCACACACACAGACACAAGCAGCAGGTGAATGAATGACAAGGAAATCAGGCAGGCAATCAGTTCATTGGCACACACACACAGCAGGTGAATGAATGACAAGAAAATCAGGCAGCAGCAGGTGAATGAATGACAAGGAAATCAGGCAGGCAATCAGTTCATTGGCACACACACAGACACAAGCAGCAGGTGAATGAATGACAAGGAAATCAGGCAGGCAATCAGTTCATTGGCACACACACACACACAAGCAGCAGGTGAAATGAATGACAAGGAAATCAGGCAGGCAATCAGTTCATTGGCACACACACACACAAGCAGCAGGTGAATGCAAGGAAATCAGGCAGGCAATCAGTTCATTGGCACAAGCAGCAGGTGAAAATGACAAGGAAATCAGGCAGGCAATCAGTTCATTGGCACACACACACACACAAGCAGCAGGTGAATGAATGACAAGGAAATCAGGCAGGCAATCAGTTCATTGGCACACACACACAGACACAAGCAGCAGGTGAATGAATGACAAGGAAATCAGGCAGGCAATCAGTTCATTGGCACACACACACACACAAATGCAGCAGGTGAATGAATGACAAGGAAATCAGGCAGGCAATCAGTTCATTGGCACACACACACACACAAGCAGCAGGTGAATGAATGACAAGCAGGCAGGCAATCAGTTCATCACACACACACACACAAGCAGCAGGTGAATGAATGACAAGGAAATCAGGCAGGCAATCAGTTCATTGGCACACACACACACACAAGCAGCAGGTGAATGAATGACAAGGAAATCAGGCAGGCAATCAGTTCATTGGCACACACACACACACAAGCAGCAGGTGAATGAATGACAAGGAAATCAGGCAGGCAATCAGTTCATTGGCACACACACACACAAGCAGCAGGTGAATGAATGACAAGGAAATCAGGCAGGCAAAGCAGCAGTTCATTGGCACACACACACACACAAGCAGCAGGTGAATGAATGACAAGGAAATCAGGCAGGCAATCAGTTCATTGGCACACACACAGACACAAGCAGCAGGTGAATGAATGACAAGGAAATCAGGCAGGCAATCAGTTCATTGGCACACACACACACAGCAGCAGGTGACACAAGCAGCAGGTGAATGAATGACAAGAAATCAGGCAGGCAATCAGTCAGTTGAATGATTGGCACACACACACACACAGACACAAGCAGCAGGTGAATGAATGACAAGGAAATCAGGCAGGCAATCAGTTCATTGGCACACACACACACACAAGCACACAAGCAGCAGGTGAATGAATGACAAGGAAATCAGGCAGGCAATCAGTTCATTGGCACACACACAGACACAAGCAGCAGGTGAATGAATGACAAGGAAATCAGGCAGGCAATCAGTTCATGAATGGCACACAATCACATTGGCACACAGCAGCAGGTGAATGAATGACAAGGAAATCAGGCAGGCAATCAGTTCATTGGCACACACACAGACACAAGCAGCAGGTGAATGAATGACAAGGAAATCAGGCAGGCAATCAGTCAGTTCATTGGCACACACACAGACACAAGCAGCAGGTGAATGAATGACAAGGAAATCAGGGCAGGCAATCAGTTCATTGGCACACACACAGACACAAGCAGCAGGTGAATGAATGACAAGGAAATCAGGCAGGCAATCAGTTCATTGGCACACACACACACAAGCAGCAGGTGAATGAATGACAAGGAAATCAGGCAGGCAATCAGTTCATTGGCACACACACACACAGACACAAGCAGCAGGTGAATGAATGACAAGGAAATCAGGCAGGCAATCAGTTCATTGGCACACACACAGACACAAGCAGCAGGTGAATGAATGACAAGGAAATCAGGCAGGCAATCAGTTCATTGGCACACACACAGACACAAGCAGCAGGTGAATGAATGACAAGGAAATCAGGCAGGCAATCAGTTCATTGACACAAGCAGCAGGTGAATGAATGACAAGGAAATCAGGCAGGCAATCATCAGGCACACACACACAAGCAGTTCATTGGCACACACACACACACAGCAGCAGGTGAAGAATGACAAGGAAATCAGGCAGGCAATCAGTTATTGGCATTGGCACACACACACAGCAGCAGGTGAATGAAGATGACAATCCTATGCTGCAGGCAATCATTGGCACACACACACACAAGCAGCAGGTTGAATGACATTTCATTGGCACACACAGACAAAGCAGCAGGTGAAGATGATAAGGAAATCCTACTGCTGCCTTTTCTATCTTCATTGGCACACACAGACAAGCAGCAGGTGAAGATGATATCCTACTGCTGCCTTTCTATCTTCATTGGCACACACAGACAAGCAGCAGGTGAAGATGATATCCTACTGCTGCCTTTCTATCTTCATTGGCACACACAGACAAGCAGCAGGTGAAGATGATATCCTACTGCTGCCTTTCTATCTTCATTGGCACACACAGACAAGCAGCAGGTGAGATGATGATCCTACTGCTGCCTTTCTATCTTCATTGGCACACACAGACAAGCAGCAGGGAAGATGATATCCTACTGCTGCCTTTCTATCTTCATTGGCACACACAGACAAGCAGCAGGTGAAGATGATATTCTACTGCTGCCTTTCTATCTTCATTGGCACACACAGACAAGCAGCAGGTGAAGATGATATCCTACTGCTGCCTTTCTATCTTCATTGGCACACACAGACAAGCAGCAGGTGAAGATGATATCCTACTGCTGCCTTTCTATCTTCATTGGCACACACAGACAAGCAGCAGGTGAAGATGATATCCTACTGCTGCCTTTCTATCTTTATTGGCACACACAGACAAGCAGCAGGTGAAGATGATATCCTACTGCTGCCTTTCTATCTTCATTGACACACACAGACAAGCAGCAGGTGAAGATGATATTCTACTGCTGCCTGTCTTTCAGTGGAGCATAGGCCCTAAGCCAACTCACCCCAAGTCATTTCATCCTTCGCTATTTTCGCTTCACCCTCTAGCTCCCTTCTTAGTCTTTTTTTTTTTTTTTTTTGGGTCTTACTTTATTTCTATGCCCCTGTGGGTTCCAGTGCAAAGACATTCTAGCTATATTGTTCTCAGGTTTTCTCAACGTGTGTCCTATCCAATGCCACCATCTTTCCTTCACCTCTTGGTCCACTGGAACTTGTTTAGTTCTCCCCCAAAGCTCAACATGATTCTGTCATGACATTTCATTCCTCTATTCTGTGCAGTCACCAGTAGTTGAATGTCTGTAGTTTATTAGTAATTGCTTGAGTTGTTCCCCATGTTCCCACTCCATACAACACCTTATGTTCCCACTCCATACAACACCCCATGTTCCCACTCCATACAACACCCCATGTTCCCACTCCATACAACACCCCATGTTCCCACTCCATACAACACCCCATGTTCCCACTCCATACAACACCCCATGTTCCCACTCCATACAACACCCCATGTTCCCACTCCATACAACACCCCATGTTCCCACTCCATACAACACCCCATGTTCCCACTCCATACAACACCCCATGTTCCCACTCCATACAACAGTACTGACTGTGACATTAGAGATGAGGATATTACTCCACAAATGCTCAAGACCTCAGTTGATGTGACCTTGAGCCCATGCTCAAGACCTCAGTTGATGTGACCTTGAGCCTATGCTCAAGACCTCAGTTGATGTGACCTTGAGCCTATGCTCAAGACCTCAGTTGATGTGACCTTGAGCCTATGCTCAAGACCTCAGTTGATGTGACCTTGAGCCCATGCTCAAGACCTCAGTTGATGTGACCTTGAGCCTATGCTCAAGACCTCAGTTGATGTGACCTTGAGCCCATGCTCAAGACCTCAGTTGATGTGACCTTGAGCCCATGCTCAAGACCTCAGTTGATGTGACCTTGAGCCTATGCTCAAGACCTCAGTTGATGTGACCTTGAGCCTATGCTCAAGACCTCAGGTGATGTGACCTTGAGCCCATGCTCAAGACCTCAGTTGATGTGACCTTGAGCCTATGCTCAAGACCTCAGGTGATGTGACCTTGAGGCCTATGCTCAAGACCTCAGTTAATGTGACCTTGAGGCCTATGCTCAAGACCTCAGTTAATGTGACCTTGAGGCCTATGCTCAAGACCTCAGTTAATGTGACCTTGAGGCCTATGCTCAAGACCTCAGTTAATGTGACCTTGAGGCCTATGCTCAAGACCTCAGTTAATGTGACCTTGAGGCCTATGCTCAAGACCTCAGTTAATGTGACCTTGAGGCCTATGCTCAAGACCTCAGTTAATGTGACCTTGAGGCCTATGCTCAAGACCTCAGTTAATGTGACCTTGAGCCCATGCTCAAGACCTCAGGTGATGTGACCTTGAGCCCATGCTCAAGACCTCAGGTGATGTGACCTTGAGGCCATGCTCAAGACCTCAGTTGATGTGACCTTGAGCCCATGCTCAAGACCTCAGGTGACGTGACCTTGAGGCCCATGCTCAAGACCTCAGTTGATGTGACCTTGAGCCTATGCTCAAGACCTCAGTTGATGTGACCTTGAGCCCATGCTCAAGACCTCAGGTGACGTGACCTTGAGGCCCATGCTCAAGACCTCAGTTGATGTGACCTTGAGCCTATGCTCAAGACCTCAGTTGATGTGACCTTGAGCCTATGCTCAAGACCTCAGTTAATGTGACCTTGAGGCCTATGCTCAAGACCTCAGTTAATGTGACCTTGAGGCCCATGCTCAAGACCTCAGTTAATGTGACCTTGAGGCCTATGCTCAAGACCTCAGTTAATGTGACCTTGAGGCCCATGCTCAAGACATCAGTTAATGTGACCTTGAGGCCTATGCTCAAGACCTTAGTTAATGTGACCTTGAGGCCCATGCTCAAGACCTCAGTTAATGTGACCTTGAGGCCCATGCTCAAGACCTCAGTTAATGTGACCTTGAGGCCTATGCTCAAGACCTCAGTTAATGTGACCTTGAGGCCCATGCTCAAGACCTCAGGTGATGTGACCTTGAGGCCATGCTCAAGACCTCAGTTGATGTGACCTTGAGCCCATGCTCAAGACCTCAGGTGACGTGACCTTGAGGCCCATGCTCAAGACCTCAGTTGATGTGACCTTGAGCCTATGCTCAAGACCTCAGTTGATGTGACCTTGAGCCCATGCTCAAGACCTCAGTTGATGTGACCTTGAGCCTATGCTCAAGACCTCAGTTGATGTGACCTTGAGCCTATGCTCAAGACCTCAGGTGATGTGACCTTGAGCCCATGCTCAAGACCTCAGTTGATGTGACCTTGAGCCTATGCTCAAGACCTCAGGTGATGTGACCTTGAGCCCATGCTCAAGACCTCAGTTGATGTGACCTTGAGCCCATGCTCAAGACCTCAGTTGATGTGACCTTGAGGCCTATGCTCAAGACCTCAGTTAATGTGACCTTGAGGCCTATGCTCAAGACCTAAGTTATGTGACCTTGAGGCCTATGCTCAAGACCTCAGTTAATGTGACCTTGAGGCCTATGCTCAAGACCTCAGTTAATGTGACCTTGAGGCCTATGCTCAAGACCTCAGTTAATGTGACCTTGAGGCCTATGCTCAAGACCTCAGTTAATGTGACCTTGAGGCCTATGCTCAAGACCTCAGTTAATGTGACCTTGAGGCCTATGCTCAAGACCTCAGTTAATGTGACCTTGAGGCCTATGCTCAAGACCTCAGTTAATGTGACCTTGAGGCCTATGCTCAAGACCTCAGTTAATGTGACCTTGAGCCCATGCTCAAGACCTCAGGTGATGTGACCTTGAGCCCATGCTCAAGACCTCAGGTGATGTGACCTTGAGCTCATGCTCAAGACCTCAGGTGATGTGACCTTGAGCCCATGCTCAAGACCTCAGGTGATGTGACCTTGAGGCCATGCTCAAGACCTCAGTTGATGTGACCTTGAGCCCATGCTCAAGACCTCAGATGACGTGACCTTGAGGCCCATGCTCAAGACCTCAGGTGACGTGACCTTGAGGCCTATGCTCAAGACCTCAGGTGACGTGACCTTGAGGCCTATGCTCAAGACCTCAGGTGACGTGACCTTGAGGCCTATGCTCAAGACCTCAGGTGACGTGACCTTGAGGCCTATGCTCAAGACCTCAGGTGACGTGACCTTGAGGCCTATGCTCAAGACCTCAGGTGACGTGACCTTGAGGCCCATGCTCAAGACCTCAGGTGACGTGACCTTGAGGCCTATGCTCAAGACCTCAGGTGACGTGACCTTGAGGCCTATGCTCAAGACCTCAGGTGACGTGACCTTGAGGCCTATGCTCAAGACCTCAGGTGATGTGACCTTGAGGCCTATGCTCAAGACCTCAGGTGACGTGACCTTGAGGCCATGCTCAAGACCTCAGGTGATGTGACCTTGAGCCCAGTGGCAGATTTGTTTACAAGAATATGGGCATAGGACACAATGACAGTTCAGTGGAAGAAAGGAAAAGTTGTTCAATAACACAGACAGATCATCTGACTGACTGACTGCAACAACTGGCCAGCAACTGCTCTGTCATCATGTAATGGCATCAAGTAATGTCATCAGTAATGTCATCAAGTAATGTCATCAGTATGGTCATCAAGTATTGGCAAAGACTTTCTGTAAAATAATTCTCAGTAGAATTAAATGGCTAGTGGACAGAATGCTGAGAGAGGAACCTGCAAGAAACTCTTAGATCAAATATTTACTATGAGACTTCCATGTGAGGAACAAGCCCTTGAAGTCAATGGAGACTGAGATATGACCGCATGATTTTAGAGCAGTTGGTTAATGACCTGATTTGAATTTTTTGTTTCCACAGAGGATGTGACCCCAATTCCTTCAGACAGTACACGAAGGAAGGGAGGCCGCAGAGGTCGGCGTCTGTAGATGCCACACTTGCTTTTTTCTTAATAAACATGACTTATTTCTTCCCACACCAGGTTTTTGTGTGTGTGTGTGTGTGTATGTATGTATGTATGTGGTTGACTTGAGAATCAGTTGAGGTTTGAGCACATCCTTCAGTGGTCTGGTGTTTTGTTGACTAGAGTTGATGAAATGACACACTGTATTGTTGGCTAGAGTTAATAAAATAACACCATGTATTATTGGCAGTAGTGACAACTTTGGCACATAAACATCCAGTCGTGACACCTTTGGGACATGAACATCCAGTCGTGACAACTTTGGCAGCTGGCTGCTCAATAAATAACCTCATTGAGTTGTCTTGATACCTAAATGAATGGTTAAAAAAAATGGGCTATCCTCCGATGAACGGTTGGTAAAGATGGCGGCCGCAAAATATCCTTTCGAGCCAGTCATGTGACTTAATTTGCGGTTTTCCGGGGGCCACCGCCACGTGTCCCCCGCGCCACTCACGCAGCGTGGAATGGGGCTAAACTAGATGGCTAGGACCCGCGAGCAGCAGCGTGCGCAACTAAGTCACGTGACTGGTTTGAAAGGATCTTTTGCGGCCACCATCTTTACTGACCATAAGTCGGAGGATAGCCAAAAATTAGTGCCAGTGGTTCAGCAGTGAGAGCACGGCTGTACTCAGTGGCCATCATTTATAAAATGGCGATTGTGACAGACGCGAGCCCCAGTGTAAAAAGATCATGAGTGCAATAAACTGGTGCTTATCCGCAGACTTCCTGTGTGGGTTATGGGTCCCGTTGTGGGGGGAAACAAGAATAGAGTGCCTGCTTCCCCAACATGCGTGTAAGTGTAGGATAATTGGGGGCCTCCTTTGATATTAGACTGCATCTGCCTGAGAGGTAAGAAACCAACAATCTGCATATCTATCACATCTGTAAAACAGATGTGCACACACCACTCAGGTTCCGGAAAAAGTCCAGAGCTGGATGAAAAACCAGAGTTTCTGGCAGAATTTAGAGCCAGTTATTTAGCGGGCTGCCAAGTTAAATAGCCCTTGTGTTGATAAAACAGCAAGCATACAGAAACTGAACATACTGCTAGATCAGGGTTGTCAAATACTCATTTATTGTAAGAACACATGCTGTTAATATGGCACTAGCTGCTGTAGACACAAAGTGCACCCTGTCAGTCACATAACACCTGGCAGCATTCTCACACATGTTCTGACTGCAGTTGAAATCAACCTCTTAGATATCTCGTACAACACCGGGAAAGTTATCACCTCTTACTGGTTGATCTGCTGTGTTTATTTTTCAAAGTCACTGGACGGAGCTGAGTGTTAGGTTCATGTACAGAGCCTATAGCAACTCCCCAGTACTGGATCACCAGTACTCACTCACTGCTTTAGACTATCAGCCTCTGATAGATCTCTTGGTGAAAGATGTACCATGTAGACCAACCCACAGCATGTAAACATTACAGGGACTGGCATGGATATAACATCAGCTGGGAAAATTGGAAGTGCGACATGGAGTCATGAGACCGATACCTGGGTGTGTGAGAGACAGCTGGTGTCACGCCATGCGATACATCATTGACCTGCCAGACATTTGTCAGTAGACACAAGATGGTCCAGACACCCGAGTGTTGCTGCTTTTATAAAACAGCCTGTGCACAGCTGCCTGTGAGTGAACAGAGGTAAGCAAACAGCCTCTGCACATCTGCATGTGAGTGAACAGAGGTAAGCAAACAGCCTGTGCACAGCTGCCTGTGAGTGAACAGAGGTAAGCAAACAGCCTGTGAGTGAACAAAGGTAAGCAAACAGCCTGTGCACAGCTGCCTGTGAGTGAACAGAGGTAAGCAAACAGCCTTGCACAGCTGCCTGTGAGTGAACAGAGGTAAGCAAACAGCCTGTGAGTGAACAAAGGTAAGCAAACAGCCTGTGCATGGCTGCCTGTGAGTGAACAGAGGTAAGCAAACATCCTGTGAGTGAACAAAGGTAAGCAAACAGCATGTGAGTGAACAAAGGTAAGCAAACAGCCTGTGAGTGAACAGAGGTAAGCAAACAGCCTGTGAGTGAACAGAGGTAAGCAAACAGCCTCTGCACAGCTGCCTGTGAGTGAACAGAGGTAAGCAAACAGCCAGTGAGTGAACAGAGGTAAGCAAACAGCCTGTAAGTGAACAGAGGTAAGCAAACAGCCTCTGCACAGCTGCCTGTGAGTGAACAGAGGTAAGCAAACAGCCTCTGCACAGCTGCCTGTGAGTGAACAGAGGTAAGCAAACAACCTCTGCACAGCTGCCTGTAAGTGAACAAAGGTAAGCAAATTGCCTGTAAGTGAACAAAGGTAAGCAAACAGCCTCTGCACAGCTGCCTGTAAGTGAACAAAGGTAAGGGGCGGTCCTGGATGGCAAAAGCAGAAGACATTGTCAGTCAAGTTTGAACATGTCATGTTTGGTGCGGAATGGATAGAAGCACCAGAAAATTGCCGAAATACATTGAAATAATAGCACCATGGGTAGATGTTGTAGAAAATTGAGCCAAACAGCCGCTGATGCCGAAATAAAGGCCCTCATCCAGGGAAACGCTCGTCCAGGCGACATTATCATCTGTAAAAATAGCTCAGTGATTTGTGGGGTCCTGTCTGGGTGGCAATACACAACACAAGTGAATGGGAGGATAGTGAAAGATAGAAGTTCAACTACTTTGAATAGTCAACAGTGTAGGTGCCTTTACCTGAAAAACCAGGGACGTGTGACAGAGCTTGTCCCCACAACAGAAGGTTTAAGGGTCCCTTGGGACAGCTTGTCCCCACAACAGCAGGTGTAGGGGTTCCTTGTGACACAGCTTGTCCCCACAACAGCAGGTTTAGGGGTTCCTTGGGACAGTGTTTCCACTGTTGTTGTGTGGATGAGACAGGGACTCGCAGCATACAGCTGTAGGGTTTTCACTTGAGCAACTAGTTAAGACAGGCTTGAGGTCACTGGCAGGACAGAGTTGAGCAGTCACCTGGCAGGACAGAGTCGAGCAGTCACAACTGAACTTGGCTGAATCCTCCCTGTGTGCATCTAGTTATGATAGTTTGAGCAGTCTGTTTCACACAAACATGATAGTCTGAGCAGTCTGTTTCACACAAACATGATAGTCTGAGCAGTCTGTTTCACACAAACATGATAGTCTGAGCAGTCTGTTTCACACAAACATGATAGTCTGAGCAGTCTGTTTCACACAAACATGATTGTAATATTCAATATCACACATTTCCTGTGCACTGGTAATATGATAGACATCCATACACTGTCCAGTGCTTTCCTTGTAAAAGACATCCAGTTGCATTCTTTATAAAACTTTTTATCATGCATCCAATACATTGTTTGTAAGACTGATTCTAACATGAAAGAGACAGTAGTAAAACAGCAGCAGCTGTAAAAAATCTCAGTCAGCTAATCAGCAGCAAATACGTGTATATACAAACAAGACAAGTCATTTGTCTACTGACACCACATCTTAGATAGGAGCCCTAGACTGCTTGTAGATTTACAATAGACTAATGCCTACAGATGAAATAGCTTCAAGTGCAGGCAAGCTGTACAGATAACATAAGTATGTTTGACAAGAACTGGAAAACACTGGTACAAGAACATACACACAACTGACAAGTTGAACACTATGGCACGACGACCTTCTCAGCAGATGAAACAAATGCGAACATTGAAACATGACTGCAGAGAAATTACTCAGAAATATGGCACTTTGTTTTATGTTAGAGCCTGAGGTTTGTTTTATGTTAGAGCCTGAGGATAGTCTACTGAGTTCAGGACCTAAGCTTGAACTCTGTATCATGCAACATGTCATGTGTTCATTGTTGACTCTAGGATCTTAGCTTGAACTCTGTACCATGCAACATGTCATGTGTTCATTGGTAAGTCCAAGATTTAAACTTGAACTCTGTACCATGCAACATGTCATGTGTTCATTGGTGAATCCAGGATTGAAGCTTGAACTCTGCACCATGCAACATGTCATGTGTTTGTAGGTGAGACCAGGATCTTAATCTTGAACTCTGTACCATACAACATGTGTTCATTGGTGAGTCCAAGATCTAAGCTTGAACTCTGTACCATGCAACATGTCATGTGTTCATTGGTGAGTCCAAGATTTAAACTTGAACTCTGTACCATGCAACATGTCATGTGTTCATTGGTGAGTCCAAGATTTAAACTTGAACTCTGTACTATGCAACATGTCATGTGTTCATTGGTGAGTCCAAGATTTAAACTTGAACTCTGTACCATGCAACATGTCATGTGTTCATTGGTGAGTCCAAGATTTAAACTTGAACTCTGTACCATGCAACATGTCATGTGTTCATTGGTGAGTCCAAGATTTAAACTTGAACTCTGTACCATGCAACATGTCATGTGTTCATTGGTGAGTCCAAGATTTAAACTTGAACTCTGTACCATGCAACATGTCATGTGCAAGTCCACAGACTGTTTTTGATGACATTGGCTCCTGTTTTAAGAGGTTGTAACATAAACTCAGACCCCCCCCCCCCCCCCCCCCCTCCGAAAGCTTTCTGGCCGCAACATTCATTCTGTGACTGATCTTGTCAGATTGGCCACTACTACTATGTTTGAAATTTTTTTTTTCAACTTGTCAACTCTGACATTTTGTGGTTTATGTACACAAGTCAACATTTAAGTCAGTTTCTCAAAGTGGGCTATACTTGACTAAAACAGCTGGCCTCCCTTAGTGAGTCTGCAGCAGCCTGGACAGGTTAATCTGTGTGGGCTAGTACAGAACTGTATCAAACGTTAGACAAGCAGCAGAAAAAGCCAGTTAGCAGCAGAATTGTAGAAATAGGCTGATATGGCACACTGATCTCAGTTTAACATGCCAGCCAGACAGGGATCTGTGTCACCAGACAGGGATCTGATCTTTGTCAGCCTGACAGGGATCTGTGTCACCAGACAGGGATCTGTGTCAGCCAGACAGGGATCTGTGTCACCAGACA